TAAACTCATTTGTTTTAGATCATCATCTATGCTCCGCTCGACAGTCCCAGTTAACAACATCGCTTTCTTTTTTTGTTCATCCGTCAATGACATCATCATAAATTCTAGTTATAAGATTTTAATGTTTCACTTAGGAATGCTCTCTGTAAATCTGCTGTTTGGTTAACGCAGTAGGTCAAAACATAGATATGATTCAAAAATTTCCAAGCAGATACTTTCACTCTGACTTATCTCCATTGAAATCAGCAGAAAATGAGAAACAGTGAAGTTCACAGTAATTGGCCTGTCAAAGAAGCTAATTTTTATCTGTTTAAAGCTATGAGAGAGCCTTCTGTAAACTTCCATTCAAATGCCAACACACTAATGTAACATTAAAAAAAAAGAAACCATCATTAATTTAAAGCACATTATTAACCTGTAAAACCCCGACTAAAACCTTCCAACTATTAATTTACCATTTACATTAGAGAGCACCATTGATAATGAAACAACTTTTGGCAACAAATAAATGCAGACAATTCACTGTTTATCAAAAACCTTTTTTTTCCTGTTTAGCAACAACAACCCATTGTACGCCTAAAATTTTATCCTTTCCAGCAAATCAATATGATAGACTGCTTTTTTGAGGATATAAAACGTTTAAAAAACTGAAATTATGACTAGAAATTATAAACACATATTAAAAATACTTGACCAGAATGACTTGCAATCTGCAAAAATTCCTATATTCTAAAATTCAGAGGTACCAGAAGCGACTTTCCGATATCAACAAATCCTTAATCTTTCTGGAAAAAATGATACAAAAACTACCAAATCTCTCGATTTTTTTCAAGTTGAGCAGACAGTAACTACAACATATTGTACTTTTATTACAACTAAGAATTTTCTAAATCACCGCGTTTGCGGCTATTTCCACCAATTGGAAGTGGAGATCGTTCCCTAGATATCTACCAATTTCTTTAATTCATCGCAATACCGTTTATAAATTTCTTCCACTTGCTCTGGAGAAGGATCGTCGTTTTTGCTCACTGATATCGGTGGTCCAACTAAATAAGAACCAAATGTATAAAAATAATTAAACTTAGAAAGATAAACCCAAATATCAAAGAAACGTATAAATTAAATGTAATCACTCACAAACACAGTTTATCTGTTTTCTTTCTGGAAAGATACCATCCCAGGAATTGGGGTCGACGAAAAATGGTAACCAAGAAACAAAATTTTTTACCAGTTTCTGCAAAAAGTGATATTAGCAAGCAGTACTTTTACAAAAAAGTCATCCAGTAAAATCACAAAAAGACTTAAGACAAAATTTACATGAAAAGTGAGCTTGACATTTGTATAATATTACTAAGACGGTAATTTAAATAATTGTCTATTTTGACGCAACCTTCAACAGACAAGCTTAATTAACACTGTGTTTTTCGCAAATGAAAACAGTATAGAAAAAGCTTACTAATGTCTCCGTTAGCCAATTTTCAGAATTAGTGTGGCTCTGTTCAGATTTCTTACTGTCACTCGAGCAATACATTGGAACCAAATGTGCACTAAATTTTCAACAATAATATACATTGCTAACACATAAAAGAAGTTAAAAACAACACAGGAAAACTTTCAAATTCAGTACCCATGACGAAAAGCTAGTCGTATAAGATCCCTTCTGTCCTTTAAATGCGAGCCATGCTCAGAAGAAACTAACTGTGAAACGTCAGCATTGTAGTCAACGACTATACCCACAGCTTTTCCAGCTTTTTCTTTCAGATACTGATCAATACTTTCATTGTCCATTCCAATTATCCCTTTAAAGATTTGTAATCATATCTAAAGAAAACAGGCAATAACGAACTTATGTATTAGTAACATACCTAGAGCCATAAGCTCCTCGCGTTGAAATGGTATATAAAACGACTCATTTTTTACTGCCAAAGTGCTATGAATTCCTGGAAAACTTATGGTAAAGTCAGTGTTGTCCGTACACAAAGATATAAAAGAACCGAAAAAGCCCAAGCCGTTAGGATGGCATCTGAAAACGAAACAGAAAATTGAAACATTAATAAGACATCAATACTGAGGCTTTATGTGCAGCAAAAAAGCAACAATACAGATCCGAAAAAATTTTTATTCCACATCTAAATGGAATGTGGCACCTTACCCAATAATGTAATTTTCGTCTGCAGGCAGATCAGCTGTTTTTCTAATTTTAATTGGAAAATAATTAGCAATCAGTTGCCATGCATACCATTTGCGTAGACCTATCTTCTCACCAAATCTTTTAAGTGTGGCTTTATGATCGTGAAAAAGCAAGAACCCGTAAAGGATAACAACTGGCCTGCAAACAGATCAAGCTGGAAACGACAGTCAGCAGTGATAAAACCTATTCTGTAAATCAATTCACAGTTCACCTGCTTAAAAACAAAAACAGACAAACAAACAACCTTAGTGATCTAAAACTTGCAAAGAAACTTACAAAAGTGGAGAAAATAGGCCGATAACACTCAAAATAGCACAGTATAGCGGTACAAGAAGAGAGGAAAACAAGAACAACGCCACAGCAGTCAGTTCCATTACTTGTTTTAAAAAACGTTTTGCAGATTTACGCTTGTCGTCAACAATCAAGTTGATCAAAATTGGAATTTGCTCTGATATTGAGGGAATTTCCTGGCTCATGGTCTACCTGAAATCACTCACTATTCCATCTGACAATCATGCAAAATGTTTGTTTACCACATCTCAGCTGTAGGTTGATGCTACTCAGCTGAACAAAACAAATCCGCTCCAAGTTCAAATTAACAAGTCCTCATGCTGCAACCCCTTAAACAACCAGACGAGAACTACAAATAACTACAAATACAGCACCAACCTTTAATGCACATTTTACCTGCCTGTAGAAGTTAAGCATAGCACTAAATTATCTTTATCAAGTGTTAAAATTGGTACCATTCAAGTAAACAGCTCTTCAATCGGAAGAGGTGTCTCATGCGGCAATCACATCACCAATTTCTGCACCCCCAGACACTTGCTTTCTTTACTGAAGAAACAGTCCCCACCTCAGATATATACAACCAAAACAACCCAAACGAATACACTGCTAAACTGGCCTTGAAGGTCCCATAAAACTACGAAGAGCAAAAGTGCACAAAAACTACAAAAAACTAACCATCCAAACGCACCCAAACCACCCAGTAGACTACAGCAACCACAAAGTATATATGACGGTAACTGTAACTAAAGGAAACAAAAATTACATCATTAAAATTTTATTTTCATTTCCAAAAAAACTTCTACGACTCGCTACACTTGAGGAAAGTCGTCAAAACTTAACGTTCAATCAACCATAAAATCTGGTCTCATCAAATGACAATTACTCGTATATACAAGACATACATAACAGCAAAAAAATTATCAACTTTTAACTGACCAACAAGTAATATACTCATTCCCGAACGCTTCCGAAAAAAAAGAGATAAGTGTGGCAAGAAACATTATTAAATAGAATATTTACAAGATTACTGAACCTACTTGTTCGCAAACTACGGCGTTTTTATTAGCAGAACCTTTTTGATAAAATCATCTGTTTATCACACTTTGTATGAGCTCATACAAGCAAAATCAAAAGAAAATTTCTCCCGTAAAAAACCCATCTCCTCGAACTTTACGAAATAAAGAAAGAAGAAGACGAAGTACAAGGAAAAATCTGAAAAGAACACTGTCATTAATTTAAAACAACAATCATTATAAACCCTGCCCATTTCAGAATTCCTATGGCGAAAGGCCCCAACAATATATATGAATGTAGAGCCCGACAAAAAAAGAAGAGGAAACAAACTATCGCTCTGGCATCATAACTATATCATTGTAGTAATAATGATAATGATTATAATAATAATGATAATAATAATAATGCACAACTAGTCAGAAAAGATCCCTATTGAAGATTCAAGATGCCCAAACAGTGATAAAATTGAAAAGACAATCAACAAACCTAGCTTTAACTAAAAGAGATATTACTGCCTGCTCTTCCAACACTTGAGGAGGAATAAGTGACTTAATCACAATAAATAGACCTCATACAGTGGCAAAACTCAAGCTTTTGAGGATCAAAAACAACAATTACAACAAAAATAAAATTATAGAAAAAATTTGCTTACTAACGCTCAAAGTATTTACATTTTAATACAAATTCAAATGAACATGTTCAGCTATACCGAAGGCACCTTTATGAGCTTCAAAAAGCTCCTTCAGCGCTTGACAATACTGTGCGTGTAACTCGTCAATACGCTGCTTTGATGGTTCTAGACATCTTTCTACCGGGATCGGCCTTCCAACTGCAAAAAAAAACAAACTTAAATCAATTACAGTGTAAAGAAGAAGAAACATAACAAAGAAGACAGCGAGCGGTAATAAAAATTGAACAAAGAGACTATACGTACAAAAAACTTACTGACGGTATTAATTGGAGTTTTCCTTGGTAAAATCCCAATATAGCTGTTAAAGATGCCCCTTCCATAAATAACAGGAGGACAAAAACCCCAAATTTTTCGCACAGCAGACTGAAACGAAAAATTGAAATTAACTTTTTTGCACTGTCCACTGAGAAAACAGTTCTGTACACCACGAATTACTAGCTTAAAATCATTATAAGTGACAAGAGCTAGCTCTGTTGAACCATAAAAAGCAACAAAGAGCACCTGGAATCTTCTATTAAATGATCCACGTTTGTTGGGGAACAGCTGAGTGTACGTTTGATTCTCACCAAAATTATAAATTGGCACTAAAGATGCACTGTAATAAACTAAAATCAATTAAAAAACAACTAGATCTTGAGAGGTAAAGAATAACGAACCCATTACGCAATGCCACTTTGACAAAACCCCTCCTCTTCATCAAATTCAAATCGAAACTGTCGGCGTGAGTATCCAACACTTCTTCTGCACCTCCTAATACAACACCAACTGCATTCCCCTGACCTCTACCAAGTACATAATCTAAACTCCGTTGGCTTGAGGCTACCGCTCCTGAAAAATAACGACAAGTTAGGTGTGACAAAAAAAATTAAAGGTTATTCTCCATTTACGCAAAGCATATAAATGATTATTTTAAAACAAATATTTCGTATTACGCTGACGACCACGTACCGCAAATTAGGCCTTGCTCGCGTCGAAAAGGCCACCAGAACTGCCCATTTAAGGTTGCAAGATGTGTTTTGATACCTGGAAACTTTTGCTCGAAGCCCGTTGCTGAGGTACACAACGAAGCGTATGTACCGAAAGAGAGGATCCCATGAGGATGGCAACTAAAAAGGAAGGTATCAACGACAAGCATAAATTCAAAATGACACTAAGACGTTCAGATAAAGTACTTGAAACGGTTGACAAGCAAAAGTTACTTATAAAAAAGCCAACTAAGCCCTTTCAGACAAACTGTAACTTAATTACAAAAGTAGCAGCAAAATACAACAAATTTTCAAAAACTTGAAGTTATATTTCTTACTCACCCGAAAAGGTAGTTACGGTCAGGTGGAAGCTCAGCAGTTTTCACCAGCGTGATTGGAAAATAATCAACATAATACTTCCACAAACTCCACTCACGCCACCAACGTTGTGCTCTCGAACCTGTTTCGGGAGTGCGGAAATCAAGAATCATCCATACTCCATAAAGTGCAAAGAGCCACCTGAAACGCTTTGGAAGGCATAAAGAAGACTACAAAAAAAGAGGTATCAAATGGGACAAAAGCAGCTTCAAAGAACTTTCAACTTGAAAGAATTTTGGGCATTCCCTTCAGTCCAAAAGTAAAAAAAAAAAATCCACAGCAGAAGATCAATGAACAGCTTTAAAAGCAATTAATTTGAAAAAAAGTGACGAGAAAATTAAATTTTATTCATTTTGCTGTACAATCAACAATACTATGGCAATGAAATCTTTTATCTGTGAAGAAGCGTAAGCAATTGAAACAGAGCCAAAAAATTATTTCTCAGCATGGTTTATGAACTTATCGACGTGATTCCTTAGGGAACTTAGCTGCTCATCTACGTATCTAGAATAAGGCAGTTTTTGTGTTGAATGTATTCATCAATATCACTGTCGGAAATTGTCATCTTTTCAAACCTCATTTTAAATAACTGTTCAGGATCGATGATCTTTGAGCTCTTCTGAGGAGCTACGCCGGTAAAACAATGAGAAAAGGGTTCCAGAAATTAAAAAAAAAAAATGAAAAAAACTAGGAAATTTATGTCACTTAATCAACCATAATGGTGTTAGTAAGTGGTCACGCAATCAGTACTACTTTATTTTTAACAGGAAATTTGTGATTTATACAGTCCTTCTCCTTACGGTTGCTAATTAAGCTATCCTACCCAATGAAACCATCTATCAATGCCATTTAAGGCACAGTTCACTTTGCGCCTTGAAAATTTACATTCTAAGCTAACACTACAGGGCATCGACGTTTTTTAGCTTATAAAAACGTAGTGGAAATAAATCAAATAATATTACTACAAAAACATACCAATATTGCGAGCATACTAACAGGATTGAGACGTAGAGCGCAAGGAACGGAAGCCCGATGAAGCAGAAGACAAAAAAAAGTACTGCCAGAACTTGAAGTCTCTGCTCCAGAGAGAGCATTATTGGAGAAAGTAAAAAGTACAGCGTGTGCATCGTGTTTTTATGCTGCTGACAAAATTGTAACACTAAAATTAATTAGGAACCGTGCATTTGTACAACATGATAAAGTTCAAATTTAACGTTCAAAAAGCTTGAAAAGTCGGTCATTCAGCGAAGAATGTCGGAGAAGGGTAATAATCAGCAATAACATGATCCTAACTGGACAAAATTTGCAAGGAAAAAAAATAACCTCTTAGAATACACTGAGATAACATATAGAACGAAAGTCAATACAGCAAGTAAAAAGTACTAATTTTAAAGTTTTTCATTAATTAAATAAAAAAGTGAACAGAAAAGGCCAAAAGGTTACAAAAATTTTTTTCCCCTTCATTTTCAACTAATTCGAAAAAGTTTCATTCACCTACGTACAATACATACGTACAATTTACCCCCACAATGAAATAGCTCAAGCAAAGTCATCTTAAAAGACTAACAGCGACAATAAGAAGATGTATAGATCATAAAGAAAACATATTTGCTGCTAACAATAAACCCCACTTCTCCAACCATTACAGCCTCCTTAAAAAAAGCCAACAAAAAAAA